TTATAATAAGAGAATAAGAGGCTGGAGAGAAGGCTCAGGAGTTAAGAGCACTGGCTGCTCTTGCAGAGGGCCCAGGTTCAGTTCCCAGCACCCACATGGTGGCTCAAACCGTCAATACCTACAGTTCCACAGGATCCAATGCCCACTTCTAGCCTCCACGAGTACTGCATTGCAGGTGCACTTAGCATATATGTAGGCAAAACACTCATACACATAAAATACAAAAAAAAATAATTCAAAGAATTTTTTTTAACTTTATAATGAAAAAAGTATAGTGGTGCACATATGCTGTTCTATGGATTTTTTTTTTTTTTTCGGTCTTTTTGAGACAGGGTCTCCTTGTAGCCCCAGCTGGCCTGGAACTTAAGATGTAGACCGGGCTGGCCTTGAACTCACAGAGATCCGCCTGCCTCTGCCTCTGCCTCTGCCTCCCAAGTGCTGGAACTAAAAGCTTGTGTCACCATGCCCCGCTGTTCTATGGAAATTTATAGTTGCTTATATTGTTAAACTACTGGGAGAAACTTCATTAAATCCTTTTAATCCTTTGGAGGATTTTTTTCTCATTTTTATTCATTTTTATTCTATGTGTATGAATGTTGTCCCTACGTGTATAAGTGCACCCAATGTCATTCAATGCCCACAGAGGACAGAAAAGGGTATTGAATCCCTTGGAACTGGAGTTATGGACAGTTGTTAGCTACCATATGGGTGCTGGGATTTGAACCCAGGTCTTCTGCAAGAACAGCCAGTATTCTTAATCACTGAGCCATCCATCTTTCCACCCCGTGGGGAACTTTTTAAAATTTTCATTTATTTGTATGTGCACAGTGTGTCCATGCCACAGAGTACATGTAGAGGCAGGAGGACGATGTGCAAGAGTCAGTTCTCTATTTCTACCATGTAGGGTCCCACGAACTGAGCGCAGACTGTCAGGCTTGGTGAGAATCACCTTTACCCACTGAACCATCTCACCAACCAGCCCCCTTTTGGGGATTTTAAACATGGGAATGTATTACCTGTTTAAAAACTTTTTTTATGACCACAACTTTCATCACACTGAAAGACTATTTCAAAACTACTTCACATGGAACAAGCAGGATGCAGCCACCTATTTGTGGGAATTTCTCTCCCGAACTCAGGCTTTGATCCTGTATTTCTCAAACACTGTATAACAAGCTCTGAAAGTATCCTCTCTTTGGGAAAGCTGCCAACCATTGAAACATTCATACAACTGTCAACAGAACGTAAAGGTTAAGACACTCAAACTCAGTTTGTTTTGCAATAGTGAGACCAGCTAGTCTATAAATCTTTTTTATTTTTTAAAATTTATGTGTATTAGTGTTTTGCCTACATGTATGTATGTGAATCACATTTGCCAGAGCCCACGAAGGCCAGAAGACGGTGTCAGATCTCCTAGAACTGGAGTTACAGGTGTTTGTGAGTCACTCGAAGTGGGTCCTGGGAATTGAACCCAGGCCCTCTGCAAGAGCAGCAAGTGCTCTTAACTGCTGAGCCATCTCTCTAGCCCCAAGTCTGTAAATCTTGAGTTAGACAAATACATTACTTTTCTTGAGTCAACTACATCAAATAAAGTGAAAATGATGTATTTGATATTTACTGAGGCTATTTTTGAAAGGTAGTTTCCCTGGCAACTCAATAGTACATATTCTCTAAAGACTTCCTCCAAACAACAAACTATTTCAGCATGGTGCGGGCTATGGGACACCAAGACCTGGATGTAACTCTGCCCCACTGCTTTTAGCTAAACTGCCTGAGTGATTTCCTTAACTCTCCTCATTTTTGCCAGTTTCCTCATATGTAAGACAAAGGAATTGACACCAGCCTCAAGGAATAACTGGCAGCCTAAAGTATGAAAGCACTTTTCTCAATGTTGGAAACTCAACTGAATCTCCCAAACTGCCACTATTATCACTGCTTCAAGGAAAACTGAGCTGCTCAGAACAGCTTATAAACAAAGTGTTCAGCTTAACATAAACTGAAGACCAGTCATTAAGTGACTCAAGGCCTCCATGAATAAGGAACAAAATAAGCTAATGGTACCCAGGAGTCTTGACTCTGACTCTAAACTGCTCCTTCTCAGCTCTGACGTTAACAATGACCCAGCATCAGGTTTTGCTACAATCAAGGAAGACGAAAACAGTAATTTGGCTATGCATTATGGCACCTTTCCTGAGGAAGATAATTTTACTTGATAAATATCAGGTGTCTTGGATTTCTATCTGCCTTTACTTCACACTTGGATCTCTGGTAAAGCAGTGACTATAACATGTCTCTTAGAAAGATTCCTGAAAAAAGGCCAGCATGGTGGCACACACCTTTAATCCCAGCACTCAGGAGGCAAAAGCAGGTGGATCTCTGTGAGTTCGAGGCCAGCTGGGGCTACAGGGAGACCCTGTCTCAAAAAGACAAAAGAAGAAAGAGTTCTGAAGAACAATACTACCACATGTTCAGATGGTGAAACAACAGCAGGTCTGACGGTCACAGTAAGCCAGCAGCAAGATCTGAACTAAACTAATATTACTTTTTCTGAGACCACATTAATTCTCTTAGCACGCACTTGATTAATAATTGATATTTACTAGTCATCGAATTTCAAAAACTGTCATATATACACACAGTAACAATGTCTATAACACACCTTTCAATTTCCCATCAAAGTCCGGACTTGTTGCCACCTGAAGTCCTGGATGTGGTAAGAGAAAACAGGTGACATCAGAGAAACAAGAGTGAATGTGATTTCGAACATTCTGAATTTCTTCATGCTGATGTTCCTTCACCTGTCGACGAAGATGAACAATTTACCAATCAAAGACTATTTGGATTTTTTTCATCAGGAACCCCAGAAAGAAGACAAAGGAAAGAAGACCTCCCAACCCTGATGGATCAGAGCAACCAATGGAAAGTCCAGAGCCCCAAGAAGCAACGAATACATCAATGTTTCAGTCACATTTGGCTCCCATAGCTAACAAAAAACAGGTATTAAAGACTTGTTTAGCCGGGCATGGTGGTGTACGCCTTTTGTCCCAGCACTCGGAAGGCAGAGGCAGGCAGATCTCTGTGATTTCAAGGCCAACCTGGTCTACAAAGCAAGTTCCAGGCCAGCTGGGGCTACAGTAGGGCTACAGGATCTCAAAAAGACCCCCCAAAAAAGACTTGTTTAAAGAGGTAGTACACAGTATTTAAGAAGAACAAAAGAAGGTTTGTGGACAAGGAGAATCCAGAAAGTTAGCAATGACTGACAAAGGTCTTGGTTTGTAGGAACAGCCTAGACTTGTTGATATCTATGCCAAAAGCAAATAGTATTGAATAAGAACAGAACATTCTAAATGTGACATTCTAAAAGCACATGCAGAAACCGCTTCAAAACTTGAACCAAGAACTACCATTATAATGACCTTTTGTCCAGAGTTCTTCTCTGTATACCCTATATATTATATGCCCAAGTTCATTCATAGCCCAAGTCACACTGGGCTAGTGAGATGGCTCAGCAGGTAAAGGTACTTGCTACCAAGCCTGATGAACTGAACTCCATCTCTGGGACTCCCACAAGTGGTCCTCTGACCTCCACATGAGCACAACCGCACACAGGCACACACCAACAGAAATAACTTTTTAGCTGGGTGTGGTGACCCATCTCTCTAATCCCAGTACTCAGGAGGCAGACATAGGTGGACCTCTCTGAAACTGGTCTACATAACGAGTTACAAGCCAGGTGGGACTACAGGGAAATCCTGTCAAAAACAAACAAACAAACAAAAAAAGCAACCAAAAGATGTAAACACTGGCTGTACTTGCAGAGGACCCGGGTTCGGTTCCCAGCACCCACATGGCGGCTAACAACTGTCTGTAATTCCAGTTCCAAAGGATCTGACGCCCTCTTCTGACCTCTACAAGCACTGCAAAACACGGGTACATTCACATACATGCAGGCAATACACTCGAACACATAAAATAAAAATAATAGCCAGGCGTGGTGGCACACGCCTGTAGTCCCAGCACTCTGGAGGCAGAGGCAGGTGGATCTCTGTGAGTTCAAGGCCAGCCGGGCCTACATAGGGCGTTCAGGTCAACTGGGACTACAGGGAGACCCTGTCAAAAAAGATAAATAAATAAAAATTTAAAAAAAAAATAAAAATAATAGCCAGGCGTGGTGGCACACGCCTGTAGTCCCAGCACTCGGGAGGCAGAGGCAGGTGGATCTCTGTGAGTTCAAGGCCAGCCGGGCCTACATAGGGCGTTCAGGTCAACTGGGACTACAGGGAGACCCTGTCAAAAAAGATAAATAAATAAAAATTTAAAAAAAAAATAAAAATAATAGCCAGGCGTGGTGGCACACGCCTGTAGTCCCAGCACTCGGGAGGCAGAGGCAGGTGGATCTCTGTGAGTTCAAGGCCAGCCGGGCCTACATAGGGCGTTCAGGTCAACTGGGACTACAGGGAGACCCTGTCTCAAAAAGACAAAAAAAAAGAAAAAAACTTAAACAAAAGATTAGACTGGTTTATGCTAATATTCACATTCATACACTTACATTTAACAGAGTCTCACTAAACACACAGCCAAAAGTAAATGAGAAAGTAACACTACTCAAGACACTACACTCCCACTCACCTGTAAACGCTTATCCAAAAACGCCATTCCTCCTTTCAGTCCGTAGCTGTATTCATAAGGGAAACTCCAGTCTCGAACCAAAAACATGAGTGTCTATTTTGATAGAGTACAAAAAAAATTACAACACTGCATAAATGCATCTTCAAGATTAGTAACTGTAATACTTTTTGCTTAGTGCTAATTTTTTTCAGAGGGGGCAAGGGCATGCTGAAGGAGATAGCCTGGGAAATATAACAAGACCCTGTCTCCAACACAAAACAAAACAAAAACTCTATAGCTCACAGATCACATAAAAACAGACAGATATATGAGCTCTACCTTGCTGATCTGTGAACTAAAACAAAGCTATGAATGACATTCATAGTCAGTATTTTACCTGGAAAGGTTTTTGGAAGATTTCATCCATTGCCAGACGACCATATTCTGTGAAGAGCTTTGAAAAAGAAGAGTTACTGGTAGGGCAACTTTACTTAAAATAGTTCTGTGGTATTCTTTTGCACAAGTATTCATTTGACAAACTGGATAGTACTCATACAAAAACCAAAGTTCATTGTTTACAAGACCCCACATGGGGAAAAATAACTGAACATAGAGGTCTATTAAAAATTTGACACCAGGGGTTGGATAGATGGCTCAGCAGTTAAGAACACTGGTTGTTCTTGCAGAAGACCTGGGTTCAAATCCCAGCACCCACATGGCAGCTAACAACTGTCCGTAACTCCAGTTCCAGGGGATCCGACGGCCTCTCTGTCCTCCATGGGCATTGCACAACATGGGTGCACTTACCTACATGTAGGCTAATAAACACATACACATAAAATAAAATAAAAATAAATTTTTTTAAAAAAAATTTGACACTAGGGTTTGGAGAGATGGCTCAGCATTAAGAGCACTGACTGCTCTTGCAGAGGACCCAGATTCAATTCCCAGCACGCACATCGTGGCTACGAACAGTCCTTAACTCCAGTTCCAGGGGAATCCAATACCCTCTTCTGACCTCTGTGGTACTGCACAACATGGGTACACTCACATATAAAATAAGAATAAAAAAAATTTTTTTTTAATATGACACCAGTAAGTTTTCTGAACACGTGACAACCAAAAATAAAATCAAATACATAATGAATCTGAGGCACTGCTGTTACTATTCACCCATACTGCATTATGCAACCTCACTGAAGCCTTGGTTCTGAACACATAGTATGTGCACTTTACACTGAGCATGCCATAAGGTCGTGCAATGCTAATGAAACAGCTTGGCTCAGATTCAGACTATTGGATGTTACGAACTGCAGTGCTTTTACTATATATACAAAGTCTTCTAAGCTATAAAAACCTAATGGTTTGGAAATTTAGCTCAATTAGCAGAGTGCCTTGCAAACAAGGGGCCCTGGGTTTAACCCCAGTACCAGAGGAAGGCAGGAAGGCAGGAAGGACGGACGGAAGGCAGACAGGAGGAAGGACGGATGGAAGGACGGATGG